AGTTGAGTTGGGTTGAGTTGGGTTGAGTTGAGTTGGGTTGAGTTGGGTTGAGTTGAGTTGGGTTGAGTTGGGTTGAGTTGAGTTGGGTTGAGTTGGGTTGAGTTGAGTTGGGTTGAGTTGGGTTGAGTTGGGTTGGGTTGAGTTGGATCACCCTTGACTCATCTCGCCTTTCCTTGGGTGATCCCTCCCCCACCCCTCCCCCCCTTCAGACCCCTTCTGACCCTCCCCCTCCAGGTCCCCCCCGCCCACCATGTCCCCCCCGACCCCCGACTACCCCTACCCCTACAACGACACGTGGGACGACTCCTTCCTCGACCTGGACGCGCCGGCGGTGCCGCTCGCCCTGCGCTTCGTGCTGGCCCTCTACGCCCTCGTCTTCCTCCTGGGCGTGCTGGGCAACGGCGCCGTGGTCTGGGTGACGGCGCTGGAGCTTCGCCGCACCGTCAACGGCGTCTGGTTCCTCAACCTGGCCGTGGCCGACCTGCTGTGCTGCCTGGCCCTGCCCTTCCTGGCGCTGCCCCTGGCCCGCGACCACCACTGGCCCCTGGGCGGCCTCTCGTGCCGGGTCGTGCCGTCGCTGACGGTGCTCAACATGTTCGCCAGCGTCCTGCTGCTGACGGCCCTCAGCGCCGACCGCTGCGCCCTCGTCACCCGCCCCGTCTGGTGCCACAACCACCGCACGCCGGGCCTGGCGCGGGGGGCCTGCGCCGGCGCCTGGGGGGCGGCCGCGCTGCTCACGCTGCCCTCCTTCGTCTTCCGCACCGCCCGCGCCGACCCCTTCTCCGCCAAGACCACCTGCGTGCTGGACTACTCCCTGGTGGGCTCCCACCAGCGCCTCACCGAGGTGGCCACGGCGGTGACGCGGCTGCTCTGCGGCTTCGCGGGGCCGCTGGCGGTGATCTTGGCGTGCTACGGGCGCCTCCTGTGCCACCTGCGCGCCAAGGGCGCGGCGTGGCCCCAGCGGGCGACGCGGACGGTGCTGGCGGTGGTGGTGAGCTTCTTCGTGTGCTGGCTGCCCTACCACGCCGTGGGCGTGGCGCTGGCGGCGGCGCCCAAGGGCAGCGCGGCGTTCCGGGCGGCGCAGGACGCCGACCCCGTGGTGGCGGGGCTGGCCTACGTCAACAGCTGCCTCAACCCCCTCATCTACGTGGTGATGGGCCGGGCCTTCCGGAAGCGCGTGAGGAGGTCGTGGAGGGGGGCCCTCAAGGGGGTCCTGGGAGACGAGGCCCCCTCCACCGACGGCAAGAGCAAGAGCGGCACCACCACCGTGGAGGAGGAGCAGAGCGTGGGCACGGCGGTGTGAGGGGCGTTGGCCGTCGTCATCGTCGTCATCATCGTCATCATCGTCATCATCGTCATCATCGTCATCATCGTCATCATCGTCATCATCGTCATCGTCGTCATCATCGTCATCATTGTCATCATCGTCATCGTCGTCATCATCGTCATCATTGTCATCATCGTCATCGTCGTCATCATCGTCATCATCGTCA